TCGATAAGATCCATCTGGTTTGTTAGAAATAAGCTGATCACCATTCAGACATTTCCACAGGAGTGACGCGCTCTGTCTGCTAAGTTGGGCTTCGGAGCAACTGAATGCGAATACACAAATGAGAGACGAGACCGCCAAACCAAGTCCAAGTCTTATCAGTTCATCGGTAGGAAACCCAACTCCGCCTCTATTCTTTGTTTTCATTTTACTTGGTTTCTGCCCATAATAAACACTGACCAGACCGTGAGCAAAATAAGTAAGGTTCCCCAAGTTAAGGTGTTGACTTAGGGCCCCTGTCACAGGATGACCGTCTGGGTAATATTGGTTACTTACATTGCAGAAAATGTCTTTGGTCCACAGTGTAACAAACAGATTCATTGTGTGAACAAGCAGACAAAGGCTCTAGTTCTCTGGCTAATATCAGACATCTAGGGTTAAGGGTTCGGGCTCTGTACGTACCAGGTGCGTAGTCAGAGACACATTAACTAGCTCTCTTCTTCTATCAAGCTCCATTTTATCATTTAGAACATTTTGAATTTTGAAAAACAAGCAAAGACATCATTTCTGTGGAGTCTGTTCCTCTTCAGAACAGAACCGCACTTTGGGAAGTAGATAACCAGTCCATTGTTCTGAGGCCCCATTGTGAGAATTTGAACCAAGAAACTTTCAGTGAGTAGCCGAATGCTTAGCTATTTGTTTTACTCAGGGACTTCATATAATATATACATATGTTGTTGTTGTTGTTGTTAAGTGCCATCGAGTCAGGTCCGACCCATAGCGACCCTGTACAGGGTTTCCGAGGGTGTAAATCTTTACGGGAGTAGAAAGCCTCATCTTTCTCCCGCGGAGCGGCTGGTAGTTTCGAACTGCTGACCTTAAGGTTCGCAGCCCGATTCGTAACCACTACGCTACCAGAGCTTATTAATGTTTTATTGTGAATTATGTGATAGTTTACACGGGAGAACATTAGTTTTACATTCATCCTATCGTATATCATTTCATTGCCATGGTTACAATCCCTTCATGTATCATCAACCAACCAAAGGGTATACCCTACAAGCCTGCCCCCCAGTCATCAGCACACAGCCCCTCTCCCTCTCTGGGTCTAAAGTCCCCAGCTGCTCCATCTTTCCAAGCCATCGTCTCTGCCTCCATCTCAGGCATCACTGCTTCTCTGGGTAGGGTCCTGCTCTCTGCTTTTCTCCCTTGATGGTCCTAGGGACCTCCGCTCCTAGACTGCAAAGTTAATCACTCCCTTCCTTGCTACAAAACATCTACTTTTACATTTACAAGCTTCACAAGCAGTCCTGATAACAATTATTCACTATTGTATCATAAGAGAGAGACCTATCTGCTTTTCCTTTCATCAGTCCCGCCCAGACAGATTGTATACTACTCAGTGGAGATTCTACCTTCCTCCATGACTTCTGGATCTAGGTTCCCCCTTGAAAGCTTGTAAGCCAGTCACTTCTTGCCTTTGTAGTGCCCCCATTTTGGGTAGCCAATGTCCAAGTTGCCCATCCCTGTCTACTCTGTGTATGGAGGTGGTGGGAAGGGATTTCATACTAACAAACCCGCTGCCTTCTACTTGATTGTGACTCACAGCGGCCCTTAGAACAGAGTAACTGCTCCTTAGGTTTCTGGGATGGGAGCAGTCAGCCTCATCTTGTTTTTAAAGAGCTTGCCACTATGTTTAGCACATACTGAGTACACGATGCCTAGTGATTGCCATTATTCTCTATGGTTAACATTGGCTATAACACTCCTCAACTTCTTCTCAAATATACTGAAGACAGTCTCTATCCATAGATTTAATGAATATTTATTGAGATCCTACTTTGGGCTAGGCACAATGCTTACAACAGACGCATATTGCTGTTGTTAAGTGCCATTGAGTCGGTTCCAACTTATAGTGACCTTGTGTAGGGTTTCTGAGGAGCAGTTGGTGGGTTTAAACCATTGGCCTTGTGGTTAGCAGTCCAGTGCAGATCCTACAGCGCCACACCAAGACTGTTAAATACCAGAAGCATAGTGTTGTGTTGCAAAGTACCATGAAGTCAGTTCTGACTCATAGCGACCTTGTGTAGGGTTTTGAAAGAGGGGCTGATGGATTTAAACCACCAAGCATGCGGTTAGCAGTCCAGTAATGATTCTATAGCGCCATACCAGAACCATGATGGTCTCAAAATTAGTTCTTTCCTCAAGAGCCTCCAAGTCAATCAACAATTATATATGAAGAGGTGAAACAGAAGGCATTTTAAATGCAATGAAACAATTCTGTATCATACTATATTGGGATATCTGACATACTGCAGTTGCTGGGAGTCTAAACACTATATAAGACAAACAGTAAACTCTAAGGTAAACTATAGACTTTGTTGTTCTTGTTAAGTACCGGTGGAGTCATCCTGATTCACAGCAACCCTGTATAAGGTTTCCAAGGCTGTAAATCTTTACCAGAGCAGGAAGCATCATTTTTCTCCTGCAGAATGACTGCTGGATTTGAACTGCTGACCTTGTAGATAGCAGCCCAACATGTAACCCACTATGATACCAAGGCTCCTTTGTTGTTGTTGTTGTTAAGTGCTGTCAAGTCAGTTTCAACTCTTAGAAATCCTGTATAGGGTTTCCAAAGAATGGCTGGTGAGTTTAAACCACCAACCTTGCACTTCAAAAGACCTTATGGTCTAGTACATTATCCCACCTATTATGAATCGGGCTGTGAACCTTAAGGTCAGCAGTTCCAAGCTACCAGCTGTTCTGCAGGAGAAAAATGAGGCTTTCAGATCCCGTAAAGATTTACAGCCTTGGAAACCCTGCACAGGGTCGCTATGGGTCAGAATTGACTCGACAGAACTTAACAACAACAACATACTACTACTATTGGGAGTCCTGGTGTGGTGCTGTGGGCTAATGTGTCATACTGCAAAGTTATTTGAACTGCAAGGTTGGTGGTTCAAGCTCACCAGCTGTTCCTTGGAAGCCCTATACAGGATCGCTATGGGTCGGAATTGACTGGATGGCACTTAACAACAACAAGAAGCTATTATTAATTAAAGGAGTCCTGGGAATCCTAGTGTAGGCTCCTTTATGTAATAATAGTATAGGTCGATCAACTTAACAAATATTCCACACTCATGCAAGATGTTCATAATAGGAGAAACCATATGCAGAGGGGTCGAGAGCAAGCAAGGGGGCTATAAAAAGCTCATAAACAAATCTGTTATATTTCAAGTCCACATTTTCCAATAACGCATTGAAGTCCTCTCATCTATGTAAACTCATTGTGTTTCCTGCACAGTTTTTCTGTTTGCCTCAAACTGCTCTAAAATGCAACGTGTATTAAAAAGAATAAATAAAACTGAATATAAAAGAACGACAATTACAACTCAATGTGAAAATCATGGTAAATGGTGCAATCTTGGCTGCTAAGAAGTTGTCTAGATTGATACTCAGAGCTCAGCCTTAGGGGATCGGAAAGGGCTCCTCATGGAATGCATGCTAGCCAAGCTAAGCTGTAGCGATGAGCCCGAGTTGGCTTGTAAAGTCAGCAAGAGACAAGAAGGGGCTTTGGGGAAATGCTGCATGTACCCTGTTTGTACTTTCCACATAGGATGTATATGAGAGTCCGTGGGGAGAGAGGGCATCTAAGTGATGAAAGGGGATGGTGAAACAGAGGGTCCGTTTTTAAAGGGTCCTGGAAGCTTGTTAAGCATTCAGGTCTTTAGCACTGTGTGCCTTGAGTGGAGAAGTAATATAAAATCTTCACTTGGGACACTAGTTACGATGTGTCTAGAAGATAGTTCATTCTGGAGCTGCCAGGAGAAAAGGCGAAAAGACCCGATAGGTGGCAGTAAGGTAGGAGAAAGAATGTGGCTTGGCTGTGGTAATGGTAGTGGGGACAGGACCAGGTAGGAAGAGAACAGAGATCTCAGAGGGGAGAGCCAACAGGGGTCTATATGAAGAGATACTGTTAGAGATGAGAGATGGAAATGCGTCAGGGACTCATGCCTTGTTTCAAGCATGGGTGATGGGAGTGGGGGGCACGAGAGAGAGAAATTAAAGGATTAAAGGATCAGCTGGATTTGGTGCCTTTATCTGAGGCACCTCCCAGACATTTACAGGAAGATGAGTCATGGATACTTGAATAGATAGGCCTATAATCCCAAAGCGTGAAAGTCTGGGACCCCAAAGTATGAAAAACCCTGTCCTTGTTATTAAGTGTTATTAAGAGTCAGTTCCCATCCATAGCAGCCTTGTATAGGGTTTCCGAGGAGTGGCTGGTGAGCTTGAACCGCCAACCTTGTGGTTCAAACTGACTCTACAGTTCAGAGCATTAACTCCAGAGCACCACATCCATCTGGATGTTTGGACACACTATAAAAATAGCTCCAATCACCACCAAGTAGATGGAGAAGACAAATGGATTCTTAGAATCTTTATACTTCAGAACTGCTATAGATCCTTGGTCCAACCACCCTTGTGACCCAGCAAAGAGCTCATTTGCCTAAGGGCACACAGACAGATGGCAATGCTGGGCCGGGGCCTTGAGACCAGGCTTCCTAGCTCATGGCCTAGTGCTTCATCCCTGGAGGCTTACAAGGTCAACTCTCCTAGTCCCTCTTCTTCCCTGGAGGATATAAGCCATCTTGTGCATATTTGAATGCGTTTCCAAAGGATGAAAACACTAACATGACAGCTGTCTGTCAATCTTTCTAGCTGAGTTTTTGCTAAAGATAAAATTCCCTAAAGTTCCTTCTCTCTCCTCTGAATTTGTTGCCAAAGAGATTACTACTCCTGTGCTGACACATGGTTGGTATTCAAGACAAGAATGGAATAAGCACATTCCTCAGGCTTTTCCCTCCCTCAGTGTTTCTACTAAGCTTTGTGGTGAAGGCCCGAATGAAGTCAAGTTTATGGAGATGGCTCTTAGAGCTAGAGGTGGGCACAAGTCCATTTCCATGTGAATAATAATCTGCGAATCAGGTAGACCATCTTACCTTCTTCACCCATTGGACACTTGCTGCCAATTTCTGTAACACACTCCACCCATCTGATTGTTCACTCAACAAATAACAACAGGAATGGAAGTCACAGGACCACTGAGTCAAGAAAACAGTGATTTCTGCAAAAGACAAAAAAAGAAAGAACGATTAGTAACCTACAAGTGGGCCAACTAAAGTGATAGTGCTACAGAGTGGCTCTTGGGGACATGTTCACATATGTGCACAGCCAAACAAGGATTACCCCTAACACAATGGACCATGAACTGAGCCCTCCGATGTAAGCACTGGATTGTTAACCAAAAGTTCGGTGATTCAAACCCACCAGCCACTCCTTGGAAACCCTATACAGGGTTGCTAAGAGTCAAAACTGACTCAAGGGAACTTAAGAGCAACAATGGAGATTTGCCCTGTGGGTCCTTGATCATTCTGAAAGCCCACTCTGTTTGTTCTACAAAAATAATCCAAATGACACCCCTTACCAGAAGGAGCTCTGGTACAGTAGTGGTTACCAGTCAGGTTGTTAACCTCAAGGTCAGCAGTTCGAACTACTAGCATGTCTATATCTACATGGTGCGGGGATTAATGCACTGGACTGCAAAGTTAGTTTGATCTGCAAGGTCAGTGGTTCAAACTCACCAGCCGCTCTTAGGAAACCCTATACAAGGTCACTATGGGTTGAAAGCAACTCAACGGCACTTACCAAAAACAACAACAAAGACATACAGCCTCAGAAACCCTGTGCAGGGTTGTTATGAGTCAGACCCGACTCCAAGGCAAACCACCACCATCCCTTCCTAAAACCATCCCTATTCACCTATTTCCAGGAGTCAGTGATCTCTTTCAGACATCAAATTCCCACTCCATGTCTCTTACGGTACTAATTACAGTTACCAATTAGTCATGGATTCTTTGTTGTGTGCTGCTGAGTCCCACAGGGCAGGGCAGTAATGTCCCATAGAGTTTCCTAGGCAAAGTTCGCCACGTCTTTTTTCCGATTCCTATTTTCATGGAGCATGTGCCGTTCACTTACTATGTGCCAGGAACGGACCCTCCTGGGCACAGGAAATACAGAATTGAGTAAGACAGCCTTTTTCTTTACAAGATTACAATCTAGAAGCTGTTGTTATTGTTAAGTACCGTCGAGTCAACACCGATCCATAGCGACCCTATATTGGGTTTCCGAGGAGCAGCTGGTGAACTTGAATAACTGACCTTACAGTTCAAATGGCTTTGCAGTCTGGCACATTAACCCACAGCGCCACACCAGGAGGTAGAGAGAGAAATATAAATAAGTTATCACAACATGCAAATTGGGAAAAATTAAACGTTAGTTATTATGTGCCATCGAGTTGGTTCCGACTCATAGTGACATTGTAAAGCATGGGTGGGAAATCTTTTTACTAACAAAATGTATGACATCATTTCATACAAAATTATCAACTTGAAAATTAACCTACTATATTTGGTCAAACATTTAACTAACTCTCACCTAATGTGATAGAGTCCTGGTGTGGCACTGTGGGATAATACACTGAACCACAAGGTTGTTTTGACCTGCCAAGTCTGTGGTTCAAACCCACCAGCCGCTCCTCAGAAACCCTATATAGGGTCACTATGAGTTGGAACCGACTTGATGGCACTTAACAACAACAATGTGATGACTGGAACTTCAGCTGCCTTGCAAAGCTAGATCACATAGTTTTGCGAGCCAGATGTTCACCACGCCTGCTGTATAGTGTTTCCGAAAGCGGCTGGTGGGTTTGAACTGCTGACCTTGTGGTTACCAATCCAGAGCTTATCTTACAGCACCATGCCAGGGTTCTGTATGTCAGAGGTACCACTGAAACCAAACCTAATGCTACCCACTGCTGTCAACTGGGCCTCACAGTCTACGACCGAGTACAATGATTTCATTGCATAAATAGATCACCGAATATTTCTCTTGTAGAACGGCTGGTGGGTTCAAACCACTAACCTTTCAATGAGCATCCAAGCACTTTAACCACGGTGCCACAAAGGCTCTTTTGGTACTTTGATAATAGATCTAACGCCTACAACATTCTAACTAGGTGCTTTCATGCATTAACTCTAGCATCAACAGCGAATCTGATGCTGAGCCATTGGAACCCACACTCTATCTCACTGCAAACACAAACGCTCTCCTTCCTAAAGTGAGGAGCACTGTTCTGGTACTCCCAGACCGTTATGAAGGGACAGGCTTGTGGAAGGGCACACCAGGACTGTGGTGGTGGTGGTGGTAGGAGATGCCATCTCCATGCCAGCAGACCAGAGCTCTGGAGTGACAGAGCAGCAGTTCTTCCTAAAGGTGACACCCCTTCCCCCCCAAGACAAAACCCTGGATCTTCTGTGTGGGAGTTGCATTGTGTCCGGATCCTAGTCATATTCATCCCAAATCTCCCAAAGTGTCTACCACATTTCCTTGCCTGGAGCAGCTGTTCAATGTATATCTGTTGAATGAATGAAGAGAAGAATATGGCATGTCTGAACAGCTGTCGTCTTTAAAAACCGAGGCACTGAACCAAGGAAGGTGCAGGCTGGCATCGCTTCCTGAATACATAGTATAAAGGAATTCTTGAATGTCCTTCATCTCCAGAGCTTCTATCTTCTAGGACAAACAGCCTGCACTGGAGTCCAAAACAACCTCATACTTTGACTGTACTGTGTTTCTTTCTGGATCCATTTTCCTTGTCTCATCTCAGTTCCTTCTAACTGTTCCTCCCACTCAATACTCCCTCCCTAATAAAACACTAACAAAACCCTTCTTAGCATAAGGGTTTAGATGAATTGAGTATCTAGGAGAATTTGTTAGCAAGAAGAACAGTAACAATAGCACAGTGTGTTCTGTTCCCAGGATGTTATGGACATAGTACCAATGGGATTATTCCCAGATGGACATGGCGTCACAGAGGAGCAACATATCACTGATGAAAAGCCGGCCTCCAGAATGGCTCCCAGTGAACACATGAGGTCTCCATGAGTTGGGTATGACTCAACAATATAAGGCAGCAGGAGCAATGAGCCATATTCCTATATCCCTATCATGACACCTACTCATGAATGTCTCTAGTGCCCTTTCACATGAATCTGAGCAGACCCGAAGGTGATGTAGCAAATGCTTCACTAAATGACTTCAGAAGCAGAGTCACAAGTAGCCTTGTGCTCTTGGAAAGCTTATTCTGGGAGGAGTCAGAATACTCTAGGACCACCACGCTGTGAGGATGCTGCAGCTGGCCGTGTGAAGAAGACACATGGATAAGGACAGAGATGTCTGTCCAATTCCAGTCGTTCCAAACATCCAATTGGTGGCACCAACACGGAAGTGTAGATGCCCTCTTAAAATCCAACCCAGTCCATACTTCATATGACTCCACTCATCTGACTGCATAGCATGGGAGACCCCAAGTATGAACTACCCAGCCGAATCCTATCAACCAACAGAACCAGAAGAGACAACAAACTGATATTACAAGCCACTACAACCACCCATCTGGTACTGTGGGTTAATGTGCTAGACTGCAAGGTCAGTTTGAAGCACAAGGTCAGAGGTTCAAGCTCACCAGCTGTTCCTTGGAAAGCCTATACAGGGTCACTATGGGTCAGAATCACCACCCATCTGTCAGTTGGCCATACTAGGAAGGCTGTGTGTGGCTACGACACTAGGAGCTCTGCCACCAATATTTCAAATGCCAGCAGAGTCGCTCATGGTGGACACTGGAGCTTCTAGACTAAGATACACAAGGAAGAAAGTTCTGGCCATCAAATTCCAAAAATCAGCCAATGAAAAACCTATGGCTCATAACAGACTGCTGTCCACTATGGTGCTGGAAGATGAGCTCCCTAGGTTAGAGGACACTACACCACAGCCCCAACAAAGGACTTGAACATTCATGATCATGAAGCTGGCACAGAATCAGGCAATGTTTTATGCTACTATACATGAAGTCGCCATGAAATAGAACTGACCTGATGGCAGCTAACAACAGGAAGCCCCTTAGTTTTGAGGTGCTAAGTTGCTCAGCACCAGAATGCTATAAACAGGAAAGAATGCACAGCTAGTGCAAGGTCATAAGTGAGGATGCTCTGTAAATATTCACACGAAATCCTTGATGGCTGTCATGAGCCCTATCTGATGCCACAGCTCAAGGCGATACGATTCTTGCCCAATGCACAGAGTCAACAACGCCCCAGATAGGATCCAAATCCAACACTACAAACGCACAGCCTGTGTTCCCGCTGTTTCCCTCCCCCGGTCTCCAGACAGTCTGATCCTGTGCAGCTGTATCTTCTGCTTAATTTCCTTTAAAAGGTCACAACTCAAATCTATAAAAATGAATCGCACCCCTACTCTGCCTTGCATTTGTTGCCTCTCTGCAAAAGGTTTCCTCTAAATCTCCTTTCTCCATCAGCCTGCACAACTAATGAAGAAGTTTGGAGGCAAGTCAAAGTAGATGGAAGACTTGCCTACAAATTCTGATCACTGTAAACCTTTGAGAAAGAGGAGCTGCAGCCCCCCTGAGAAATGCGGGTGTGCAACTATAATATATTTCTTAGAAAAGAAAAATAAAGATGGATATAAGAAATGGAAATTGTTCTTTGCAGTTTCAGGAGAGTGGATGGGGGAAACTGTTTTGGGGTCTAGGAGGGCTGTGCGTTCAGATATGTAGTAGGTCTTCTGTTTCTGGATGAGCTTGGTTAGAATGGTCAATATTTACAATCTTGGAAACCCTATACAGGGTTGCTATGAGTCGGAACGGCTTTCACGGCATACCACCACCCTTGGTGGCACAAACGTTTGAGTGCTCACCTACTTGTCAAGAAGTTGGCAGTTCAAATCCACCCATAGGCACATTGGGAGACAGGTCTGGTAATATGCTTAAGGAAGGTGACAGCCTTGGGAACCCTATGGAGCAGTTCTATTTGGATCACGGAGTTGTCATGAGTGGGAATCAATTGGAAAGCAGCTCCCAACATCCACCCCAAATCTCCTGCTGCTCCCAGACCTGAAATCTGGGATCCCTGTGGAGCCACCCAATTACAACCCAGCGCTGCAGCATCACCTACTCAAGACTTCTCAACGTCATTTTCTGGGGCCTGCTAG